GGAAGAAAATATTGGTAAAATGCTTGCTGGAGGGAGATTTGCCTCTTACCTGTAATATCTCTGACTTTGGTGTCTTTCATGCTCCCAGGGATCCAATGCTTCCCATATGCTTGATTTTCCTCATGAGAAGAAAGGTAGTTTTTACAAATCTACACACTTTCGTTCATGTGCGACTTCCATTGGGAAGGGAGTGCTTCTAGTTTTTGCCCATTCATTATGATATTGGATGTGGGTTTGTCATAAATAGCTCTTATCATTTTGAGATATGTACCATCAGTACCTAGTTTATTGAGAGATTTTAGCATAAAGGCCTGTTGAATTTTGTTGAAGGCCTTCTCTGCATCTATTGAGATAATCATGTGGTTTTTGTCTCTGGTTCTGTTTATGTGATGAATTATGTTTACTGATTTGAGCATGTTGAACCAGCCTTGCATGCCAGGGATTAGGTCAACTTGATTGTGATGCATAAGCTTTTGGATGTGATGTTGGATTCAGTTTGCTAGTATTTTATTGAATATTTTGCATTGATGTTCCTCATGGATATTGGCCGGAAATTTTCTGTTTTAGTTGTATCTCTGCTGGGTTTTGGTATCAGAGTGATGTTAGCCTCATAAAATGTATTAGGGAGAATTCCCTCTTTTCCTATTGTTTGGAATAATTTCAGAAGGAATGGTACTAACTCCTCTCTGTACCTCTCGTAGAATTTGGCTGTGAATCCATCTGGTCCTGGACTTTTTTGGTTGGTAGACTATTAATTGCTGCCTCAATTTCAGACCTTGTTATAGGTCTATCCAGGGATTTGACTTCCTGGTTTAGTCTTGGGAGGAAGTAAATGTCCTGGAATTTATCCATTTCTTCTAGAATTTCTGGTTTATTTGCATAGAGCTGTTTATAGTATTCTCTGAAGGTAGTCTGTATTTCTGTGGGACCAGTGGTGATATCTTTTTTTATCATTTTTTATTGCATCTATTTTATTTTTCTGTCTTTTCTTCTTTATTAGTCTGGCTAGCAGTCTATCTATTTCATTGATATTTTTTTAAAAACCAGCTCCTGCATTCATTGATTTTTTGAAGGACATACCACCCTGAACGCACCTGATCATGTCTGATATTTGTTTAAATATTATTTCCAGTTATTTTTCTGTTCTCCATTTGGGACTCTTATGATGCATATGTTGGTAGATTTGATGGCATCTCACGGATATGAACCTCTATTCATTTTTATTCATCCTTTTTTCTTTTTCAGACTACACAGTCTCAGTCAATCCGTCTTTAAATTTGCTGATGCTTTCTTCCGCCTTCTCGGATCTGCTGCTGCTACAAATCTCCAGTGAATTTTTTATTTCAGTTATTCCACTCATCAACTTCAGAATTTTTGTTTGTCCTATTTTTAAAGTTTCTATCTCTTTATTGAAAGTTTCTATTTCTCAAGACTTTTAAAACAGTTGATTTAAAATCTTTGTCTAGACTATACATCGTGTACACTGCTCCGGCGATGGGTACACCAAAAACTCAGAACACACCACTTAAAAACACATTCATGTAACCCACACTACCTCTTCCCCAAAAACCTACTGAAATGAAAGTCATAAATAAAAGTATTTGTCTAGTGTGTCCAATATCTGGGCTTCCTCAGTGACAGTATGTACTGATTTCTCATCATTGTTGTTACTATTGTCATACTTTCTTGTTTCTTTACGTGTAAAATTTTTTTTTGTTGACAACTGAACATCTCCAGTAACGTAACATGACAAGTCTGAAAATCATATTCTTCTTACCAATTAGGGTTTGCTGGTGTTGCTATTAATATAACCTGGGCCAGGCCTAGTGGCTCATGCCTATAATCCCAGCACTTTGGGAGGCTGAGGCAGGACTATTGCTTGAGGCCAGGAGTTCAAGACCAGCCTAGCAATATTCTATCTCTACAAAGAACAAAAAAAGGAAATACAACCTGTAGAGGGGCCCTTCAGTTTTTCTTTCCCTCTTCCTCATTGTTCGCTGTTTGAGTACTGCTTTCTTTCCTAGTTGTCATTCAATGATACAGAAAAATGGCAAGTAACTTTTTTTTTTTTTTTGAGACGGAGTTTCGCTCTTGTTACCCAGGCTGGAGTGCAATGGCGCGAACTTGGCTCACTGCAGCCTCCGCCTCCTGGGTTCAGGCAATTATCCTGCCTCAGCCTACTGAGTAGCTGGGATTACAGGCGTGCGCCACCATTTTGTATTTTCAGTAGAGACGGGGTTTCACCATGTTGACCAGGATGGTCTTGATCTCTTGACCTCATGATCCACCCGCCTCGGCCTCCCAAAGTGCTGGGATTACAGGCTTGAGCCACCGCGCCCGGCCTGGCAAGTAACCTTTTACATGATGGGAATAGCACAATAATCATTGCTGCAGATAAGATTCATCAATGGATGTTAGAATTAGTGGGTAACATTTTGAAGACAAATAAAACTTGCATAGCTTCAAAGTACCTTTCCCAAAATGTTAACTCCATGTTGTCTAGGTTAGCACCAGTAGTAAGACATATTGACATCAGAAATCCCATGGTATGAGGCACTGAGAAGGACATGGCATAAGTCCATTGCCATGATGCATAATCTCATTCAGGTGAGAACATAGTAGACACATCTAAATTGAGGGGCATTTTGTGAAATGAATCATCCATACTCAAAGTTGTCAAAATCACGAAAGTAAGGAAAGACTGGAGAAAAAAAATCATGGGACTTGAATAAGGTCTCTGGTTTAGTTAGTCGTATTGTCACTATGCTAATTTTGTAGCTCTCATTATCTTACCATACATATTCAAAGTGAGAACGTGAGGATGAGATCCATAAAGGCCCTCTTGGGATCCTCTGTACTATTTTTATAACTTCTGTAAGACTAAAATCAGCTTAAAATAAAAAAGTTAAACAAAAATCATTGTAGGCAAGGTGGGAGAATCACTTGAGGTTAGGAGTTCCAGACCAGCCTGATCAACATAGTAAAATCCCACCTCTACTAAAAATACAAAAATTAGCCAGATGTGGTAGTGTGTGCCCGTAGTCTCAGCTACTTGGGAGACTCAGGCAGGAGAATGGCTTGAACCCAGGAGGCAGAGGTTGCAGTGAGCCGAGACTGCGCCACTGCACTCCAGCCTGGGCAACAGAGTGAGACTCTGTCTTAAAAAAAAATTGTTGTACCCAATTTTTAGCATCTCCAAGGACTAATTTTTATTGCTTTAATAATTTTTGTCATTTTACTATAAAACTTGATATTTTTGGATATGGTATTTTAATGAGAACATGACTAATGCAGACTATGGATATAAACACTTCGAAAAAATAAAAGTGACTTTACCAAGTATTCTCACATTCTCGTGATACTTTTCCAGAGTTTAGGTTGCACCCCGCTCTGTGTTTAAAATGCATCATGCACTGGTGTTGTTGTTGAACTAACAGTTCACAATGTTGTTGTATTTAACTTCAAAATTGTTCTTTTCAATGTTGTATGTAATAGAGTGCCTTGCTATTCACAGCTAAATGTTTGATGCTGTAGCTGGAATTCTTATTCCTTGGAGACATTAGAAGCTATTGCTTACAGATTACTGTAAATGCTTAAACGTCGGGAATTTGATTCTGCTGGTTTTCCATATTTAAGAGGTGTTTAAAAGCGAATGAAACATGGAAAGTTGAAAAAATGAAAAGGTTTGCACAATCCTGAGTGCTATAACATATAGTTAGTTATAAATACGGGTAGTTATGAATTTCTAGCCATCTAATCTATGAGGAAGTATCAAGCAAATCTGCGCTTTTCAATCTGTGGATTTTGTTAAAATGAAAGTTCTGATGCAGTGGTCTTAGCAGTCTACCTTTCTAACCAACTCCCAGGTCATGCCACTAACTGCTAGTGTCTGCTGGTCCAGGGACGACATTTGGAATACCAAAAACTTAACTGACTGGAGAGAAAATGCTCCACATGAGTCCTGTCTATTCCTGGCATAAACTTTCAAAGAAAGGGACTTAATTTTTAATAAGTGAAATATTTAAGTACCTAAAGGAGCTCTTTAATTTGAGGAATTCTTGCCAGTGAAACAAACTCGGGAGTCAGGAAGTCCTGCATGCGACGCACCGGTCATCTTAATGTCACATGTCACCTGAGTGGAAATGTGTAAAGAAAAGAGGCTGTGAAGTCACAGATTAAGTTGAACCAGTCAAGGGCAAGTAGGGAACACTTCTCAGGCACGCAGAAATCCCCTAGGAGGAAATTTACCGCTGCCACCAGGGGGCGCACCGCCACAGCGATCCCAGGAAGAGCATCTGGACCCAATCATTCTGCAGTTCTGCAGCTGGAAACCAGCGCGATGAACTGATATAAGGAGATGGACACAGCACTGTATAACGTGGGACCATCCCATAGGCCTCAGGTCTCTCTGGGGAAAGCGACTTGGTGATGGGTCATGTGTTGACCACTCAGGTGTTTGCACTGGACAGCTGTGCTGGGCTTGAAGTGGATTCCACAGTCAATTTGAGGCCTTGGGCAAGAGGGGTTGGCTGTGATTACCCCATCAGAATAGCACCGGGTTGTCTAAAGTACAAAGAACCAACTGACTGTGGCATCTCTTTCCTCTGAAGGTTTTGTACAAAATGCATGACTGCCACAAAATACCCTTTTGTGGAAAGACTGCCATCATCTTTTACCATTGAGGAAACTGAGGCACGGGGGAGGAATGGACTACACTTTAGACCTGTGGCCAAATCAGAATCAGAAGTCCAGCTTCCTGCTCCAGTCAACCACAGTGGACCACCTGAGTGGGCTGCCCTCCCCCTGCCATCTCAGGGCTCCTCCGAATGAGCCTTGGGGCACAGAGCTGCCAGCCAAGGCGGGGAGGAGCGGCTCCTTGGAAGGCAGGCCTGGAGGCCCACCCTGGCCTCGTGCTCAACCCTGCCAAAGTCAAACCATGTCAATTTATTTAATTTAAGTCAACTTGTCTTAACTGCTTACACATGAACAGATTCTTTTAATATTTCTTAATTTTTTTGAATTAAGAAAATAGGGCATATTGATGGAAGAAAAATAATATTAAAGGTATAGAAGAGTGTAAAACAAAAAGTGAAAGTACCTCTTCATTCACTGATCCCCAACCCAAATCCTGTAATCCCACATCCCAAAGTAATCAGCGTGTGTGTGTGTGTGTGTGTGTGTGTGTGTGTGGAGAGAGAGAGAGAGAGAGAGAGAGAGAGAGATGATTTTGCTTAACTTTACAAAAGTGGGATTATAAAATCGATACTGTAGCTTCATTTATTCACTTAAGATGTACTATATATCATGGTCTATCAGGATGAAGTTTTTAAATTTAAAAATGCTAAAACATTTTATGGATCTATTGCCTTGATTAAAAACATGGGATTCCCAAGTCTAATATTTGCATGTTAACAAAAATAAGCCTTCAGGGCTCGCCCCACGCTCCTCTGCCACACTCAGCACCTTATCTGTCCAAGCTTACAAGGGCAAAATTAAATTAGTGGCATGTATACGTTTTCTGAATGATCTTGATAGAATGAACAACCTCCTCAAATTGTGAATACTTAATGTTTGTCCTCTGTGGATTAAAAATTTTAATCTCTTTATTATTTATGTGGGTCTGAATTATTTCTTATAGGAGTCTTTAAGAAACATAGTACTCATATGAAAAAGGAAATATATACAGACATAGCTACAGGCTGTGTTTGCATACCCTTTTTTCTTCCAAACACCCAAAACAAGTCAATTTAAAACATCGACAAATAGGAGCTGGGTGGTATATTTTTCCTTTTTAGACTTGCCCTCCAGGACTTACCAAAAATACATCTGTCCCTTTCTCTGAAAACAGCAGGTGTCAAACTTTAATATGAAAGGATTCCTGGGACCTTGTAATGGTGCAGATTGTTGGGTCTCCTGAGTCCCACATCCTCAGGATAGGGTTGGGAAAGGCACATTACTAACAAGCTCCTTGTACTTCTTCTCCCAGCAGAAAAGAATTTGATCAACAGGATCCTTCATGAGTTTGTCATGGCCTGGGTGTGAATCTTTCCTGATGGATCCTATTCTACTTTCCTCTCATTTAGAAGAAAAAGGGATGATAAGAGTGCACAGGAAATGGGTTGTACTGACTTTTGCCGTTCATAGCTGCCACAAAGTTGAATGTACACTGCAGGAATTCTTCTGTGCTCTCTTGAACAGCTTGGCCCCCTGAGGTTTGCCAGTGGACCTGCTGGCCTGCAGTTTCCCTTGGGCTCCTCCTTATGCCGTGTAGCTGGTTTAAGAAGCAGCCCATGACTGTTTCAATCTCAGCTGAAGTGCCTTATAAAACTAGCCAATTTGGGAGGTCATTTATCTCTGATCCAGATGCAGTGGTTTGATTATTCTTGGCTTACACTAAACTTGGAAGAGAACTGAAGCATTCGGTAAAAACAATCTATACCTTCACAGTGTGAAAAAGAACCATTTACAGCTATGTACACCCCAGTGGACAGACACCACAAAAACAAAGATGGGCAGAAGTAGCCTCCCTTCATCTGAGGTTCAAGGACAGGCAACAACCATGTAGGGTACAGGGTTGGGAAGAGGCTCTATTTCTGGGGAATCATTGCCTGGTGAGGGGTTGGCACAGGCGAGATGTCCAGGAGATCCGGAAATGTTCCACGTGTTGGTCTGGAACCTACGAGGATATATACGTATACACAGAGGCATTGAGTTAATGCCTAAGCGGTGTGCATTTTGCCTCATGTATGCAATGGCTCAACATTTTTTTTTTTTTTTTTTTGAGACGGAGTCTTGCCCTGTTGCCCAGGCTGGAGTGCAGTGGTGCAATCTCCGCCTTCCAGGTTTAAGTGAATCTCCTGCCTCAGCCTCCCAAGTAGCTAAGATTACAGGTTTGTGCCACCCATGCCTGGCCAATTTTTGTATTTTAGTAGAGATGGGGTTTTACCATATTGGCCAGGCTGGTCTCGAACTCCTGACCTCAGGTAATCCACCTGCCTTGGCCTCCCAAAGTGCTGGGATTACTGGCGTTAGCCACCGTGCCCAGCCAAGACATTTTTTAAAAGGCAATTGTGAATCTGACAGTGGTTCTTTAGGAAAAAAACAGTCTATAGTCATATTCATGTGATGAGTTAAAAACCAAACAAATCCACAAAGTTGGGCAAAAAGAAAATTCAAAATCAAAAACTGTTAGAAAATAAACGGTCTCCTTGAACTCGTCATTAACTGAACGCTGAAGATAATGTGAGCCCACCTTGCAGACGCAATGCTCTCAAGTAAGTAAAGTTTTTGTCCTTCAGAATATAGCTGGCTCAGAAAGGGTCTGAAGAGCAGTTTTCCCAGCTTTTTGATAAAGGCGGTGGACAAAAATGGGAGTGAGAAGAAATAAGTTATTAGGTTTTCTTTAGTAAGGGAGGGGTTTTGTGCAAGTCCGTGTGTCTGTGCAGGTGCAGGGGATTTGATTGGAGGTGATCAGTGCTATCGGCGCAGCGGCTTCCTGGGCTACATTTGAATGAGGAAATGACAGGGAGCCTGGCCCTTCAAGTCCCCAGGCCAGGGGAGGATGATACAAGGCCTATTCCAGGCATACTTCATGGGGGGAATTTCTCCCTTTTATTCCCCCATCTGCTAACATTTGGTCTCACTGTGTTTAAAGGGTTTCCGTGAACACCCAGGGGTCTTTCCCCTCTGAACTTGGACCAGGTCTCCTTGTGTTATGGAATAACCATGGCGAGGAAGCTGATGCCTCCTTACCAAGAAAGTGGCTTTTCTGATTTTCTCCTCCTCTCTCCTCCTCTTTTCTAAATTAGTGGCTTGTCTGCCACACCTGGGAATGTTTAGTGTTATAGAGACATAACCTGGAAACTGCTCCATGAGGTCTGGGCTGGAGAGCTGGAAGTATCACAGGAGGGCACCGAGTTGCACCTGGTCTGGGCACAGATGAGGCTCCATTCACTGGCTGGTAGAAGATCGGGCCTGGGCTGAGAGTTAGCGAATACAGTCGTGGGAGGCTTTGTATTCTTTGTCCTAAAGGCAGAACTATGAGAAAGATGAACCACCTTTATTCACCACATCAGGTCCAAATCCTCTGCACGGACCTGAAAATGGAATGAATGTTTACGGGAGGTCAAAACACTGGGAGTAGAGAGACCCTAGCACCCAGCCCAGGGTGGGGAGGTGCTCTGTAAATACACCTGTCTTGTTTCTGAAAGGGTGAAGACCCCCACACACCTGGGACTGCTGCCTCTTTTTCCAAGGAAGAAATACTCTTGGACTAAAGTATCAGAGGCTGGAACTTTTTCCATGAGGCTACACAAAATGTGAGATCAAATGCAAACAGATTAAGAATAAAAGCTGCCTCGGGATTGCCGAAGATACTGACAGGGAAAGATAAGAAGCACATTCTTCATTTCAACTCTGGCTTGTTTCACAGTTGTTTCTGGGCGGAGCTTCCAAAGACTGGAAGGGGCAGGTAGGAAAAAAAAAAGACTGTTTTCCTTGGAGAGGAGCCCCTGAGGCCTGTCTCCCTTGGCCATCACCTGGTGGGCTGAGGAATCTACCAGGTCTCAGCTGCTGTCAGCCTGGGGACCGGGATCCCCACCTTCCTTCTCTGGGTGGTGCCTGGCTGCTCAAGGGATCACTCTCTGTGCTTTACTTTAACAACTCCCTTCACTCTAAAATCTGTCCAAATGAAAAGCCAAGAATCATCTCTACGTGCCACAGGAGTGCTCTCTCTCCTCCCCCACACCCCATGCCCTCCCAACACACATACACTCCTGGTGCTGAGATAATTTCCAAGAAATTTCCAGTTCCTGGTTATTCTTCTTCCTCCTGGCTCCCTTCCTAACTCCCCCTCCATCACCAGATTACACAATTCCTTGAGCCTATGGTATTTTCCCCCGGGAGCTAGTGTTCATTCCCAAACTCAATTAGTTCCAGATTCCCTCTCACCTTTTATTTTCCCTTGTTTTCACTAGAAAACACTATTTGAGTGTCTTTCCTGGTTAGGTGAATTTTTCTCAGCTCCTAAACTTTCTTTTCTGTGTCTCCAAAAGCTTGATGGAGGTAACACAACTAGAGTATTCTCCCCACACGTTCCAGCATGGATATTAAAGAATATTAAAAAATATTCTTCTAACAGGGATGTAAAAACTCATATTTTTACATGCTTCTTAGTATCTGGAGCCAAAGCAAAGGGACAACCACTCAGGCATTGTGGGAGAGGTACTCTAAGGTCTGGAAGATGCCAAGCTGAGAACAGGAGTAATAAGTGATAGACCCAGGAAGGAAAAGTCTCAGGTCTTCCTGGGTAAGATGGCCTTTCTTTCTATGGAAAGGAGGCCATCTAGGACCACTTACTCTGCCCTTTGCTGTGACCTTGCTGTTCCCAGGCGCTGTCAGGGATTGTCTGGGAGGAGGTGGTGGGTGGGTACAAGGTCAGCAGCAGATGGGGACACGTTTGAACTCTGCGGGCCCTCGCGGACCTAGGCTGGGGAACCCTGTTCAGAGGTTCCCCGCTTCCTTCCCACTTTCTTAGGGTATTGGGATAGATTCCCTGATCTGAATGGATTCCATGGAGTCACCCAGACAGACACCTGGTTTCAGGTGCTCCCTTTCTGAACAAGGGCGTTTGTTTTCAGCCCCACCACAATGGCATCTCCTCCACAGCCCAGCCAGGAGCCCCAGGGAGCATCTGGGAAGAGTCCAGGAAAGTCCAACGCGGAAGAGTAGGCTGTGCCTGCCATGGCCAGGGGTCCTCTCCAAATGGATACTTTCTGCAACGTCATGAGCCATCTCTAGGGCAGCCCACACCTTCAGCAAGGAGGAGCAGGAGACCTGGACTGGGGGAAATGGGAGAACGAGGACTCTAACGTCGTCGGAGGTAGGGTAGGCTGGTGTTACCTGCAGAAGTCCAGGAGCCTCTTCAGACCGCTTCTCCAGGGACAGTGCCAGCTGTCCCCACTTCCATCAGCCACAGTGTTGGGCTTGGTCCAGCAGGAACAGAAAGCGAAGTGTGAACCCAGGCCAGAGGGGGGAGCCCGGACACCCTTGCGGAACCAATAGCTTGTGGGGAGGCCTATTCCAAATCGCGAACAGGGCGCACAGGGGGATCCCCGCAAGGGGGCAGAGGGAAACCCTGGAGGCCCGCGAGAGGAGGCGAGGCCAGCGGCTAGGCGCCGGCAGCCAAGAGCACTCGCGGCGCGCTGACTCCAGGCAGCAAATAGAGAGGTACTGAAGAACCCCTCGGTTTTTCCGAAAGTTTCCAGCGAATCCTTCCTGAAGAAGACCGGCCTCTGGGAGGCAGCGTGTGTGCTTCCCGAGAGGGGGCCCCCCTGCTCCGTCCCCCTTCCCCTGGCACGGAAGAGTTGAAGGACTGCACACAGGGCTCCCTCCCCAGCCCAGTCTCCTCCCCGCGGGCCCCCTCCCCGCCGTGCCTGCCAGGGCCGGCCTGTGTCCCAGGCATTGCCCCCGCCCGCGCGACCCTCTGCCGCCGACCCTGGCCGGACCATCCTCTCTGCTGCAGGCTGCGGGGAGCTGCACTAGCTCATGCTTCTAGCTCCCTCGATGCTCCCTGCGCGCTCCGGCCAGGCCCCAGCCCCAGCCCCGGTCCCTAGTGCGCGGACCATGGAATAGGCGGGCGGCCCCGCGACGCGCTCCTGCAGCCGGCGGGGCCAGAGCCAGCCCAGGGTGGCCTCGCCAGCCGGCAGAGTTGGCCAGCGGCGGGCCCTCCTCCCGTCGGTCCTCCCCCGCTCCTCCTCCTCCTCCTCTGCCCCCGCCGCCCCCGCCTCCCCCCCCTCACGGCCGCCCCTACCGCCCCCGCCGCGCCGCCGCCCCAGGCCGAGCGCGGGCGCGGAGCGTGGGAGCCATGGCGCGTGAGGAGGAGCGGGACCCCGAGCGCCGGGAGGCGGCGGCGCGGGCGAGCGGCGAGGAGGAGGAGGAGGAGGGAGGGGAGGAGGGACTGGGCGATAGCGACGACGAGGGCAACGACGAGGAGACGGGCAGCGGCGAGGAGGAGGAAGAGGAGGCGGAGGCGGCGGCCGGGTGGGAGCGCAGCGAGGACGCGCGGCTGCTGCGCGCAGGGCTTCCTCCTGCCGCCGTCCCCGCCGCGGCCGCCCGCTACAGGAGCGGCCTCCGCCCGCCGAGGCCGCCGCCCGGCCGCTTGAGGATGCGGCCGCCCGGCGACGAGGACCGCGCGCGTCGCCGCCGCCGCCGCCGCCGCCGGAGGGACCTTCTGCTGAGCCAGCTCTGCTTCCTGGCCTCGGTGGCGCTGCTGCTCTGGTCGCTGTCGAGCCTGCGAGAGCAGAAGGGTGAGTGCACACCGCCTACCCCGAGTGGGCGCTGCGGCTGGGCGTCTCGGGGCTCGCGGGGCTGGTGCGGGCCGCCCGGCGGAGCCCCAGGGTAAGCGGGCTGGGTTGGCGGGAGGGGGTTCCGGACAGGAGGACTCCCCCTGCCCCACACAGAGGCATGGGAGGAGGGGACCCTGAGCGCCAGCAGCCGGCACGCCAGGGCGCCTGGCCGCCCTAGAAACATTTACCTGAGCCTCTCGCCTCTCGCCTGTGCGCTGCTTACCCGCGGGCTGGAGGCACTGCTGTGGGCGGTGGGGAGTCTTACCTTCCCTCAGTCTCCAAGGCCGGGGATAAAGTTGTGCTGGTAGCCCCGGCACCTGTGCCGGTGACCACCTGGACACTCCTCGGCTTGCTGGATTCTAGGGGGCTGCTTAACACACACTTGTCCATATGTTCTCCATCCAGAGCGGGCGGGACGGCCCGAGTAGAGAGCTCTTCACCCCGCTTTTAGAACAGGTGCCGGGAACTTGGGGAGGAAAAAGTGTTGGCCCTCCAGCTAGGGGCTAGGAGGGGACTTGTTCTCTTAAAATGACCAGTCACTGGGAAGACAGGGGCTTGTTCCCCAGCGGTCCGTTTTGCGGAGCTGCTGCTGTGGAAGAAATGGTTTGAAGCGGAACATGCATCCCGCTGCCCGCTCCTCTCCGGGCGCTCTGCGCAGGGTCTGCCCTTTCACCCACAACTTTTGTCTTGTCTTTGTCCTCGGCCTTTGTGGAGCTGAAATCGATCTCGGGTGTTCAGAACAGTTATCTGCTGAGGCAGTTTGGACCCTGGGATGCAGCTGTCTAAAAAACAAAGGGAAGATATGGGAGAATAACTGTTGTAAAATGATTTTATATCCCGGCTGTGAAAGTGGCACGATTCGTGGGAAAACAGCCATGTAAAGGGTTGTGAGAAAAAAAGCAGCAGTTACAAGTATGTGCTGTGATGTTAAGATCGACGTAGCTCCTAATGCAAGGTGTTACGAGGTGCAGAATAAAGACATTTTTATAGTGACTGTAAACAATTTTCAAAGGTGCCATGGATTTTAAAAGGGGTCTCCCCCAACTTGGCTGATCTCCTGCTTGGTGGGGAAGCTGAGCAGGCGTCAGTCTTCGTTCAGGTCTTAGCAGACCGCTTGACAGACTTCAACATATATGGTAATAGCAGAGTCCCTGTTGGCCTTCAGTGAAGCTGTTGGAGACTCCACGGCTCTCTCCATTCCTCTCCTGGATCTCGGATCCCGTAGCCTTGTGTTCTGACATCAAGAAGAGGGCCGTGCCGGTGTGAGGGAAGCAGAATGTCTTCCACGGCAGATTCACATCTGCCAGACATCAGTGTACCCAGAGTCTCACTAAGACGGTTTTCGCGAATTCTCTTATTTTCCCTTTTTTTTTTTTTTCTGAGTGAAAAAACAGTTTATAGTTCATGCCACCTTTGGAAAGGACTATTCCAAGTCGATTACACGCCGGCCATTTTTTTCTGGTATGTTGGGGTTCTATGAGAGAGACATAGAGTTCCCACCACTTTCCAGGATATAAAAAACGTTTTCTGGTGAAGGATGCGACCCATACAGTTAAGTCAATCAACCAGAGGGGGTGCCTGGGTCCGGGAAAGCTGGGATTTCGGGGACAGAGGGGAGAGGGGGTCGGACACTCTGCAAACTTGAAACCTAGGGACCAGAATGTCATTTTGAAATGGTTTCCCTGTCAGTGACATTTCTGTTTAGGTGTCACTGACTCAGATTTAGTTCCACAGCACAGCTCTTTCCCCATCCCTCCTTCTGTCCCTTTCTCCTTTCTGCCTTTCATGTTCTTTTTTCCTCTCACTTCCTCTTCCTCCCTTCTCTTCTCTGTTGGTCTTAGGACCGTCCTCCCCAACAGTAACTGAAGATCTAACAGGCCAAAGCCAGCAGTGTTAAAGAGAATGCCCGCCAGCCTCCCTGTGTTGCCCCCAAGTAACATTGAGTTGAAATGGTCGCCAATCACTTTTTCTTCCATTAGGTATTGATGATTTTTCAGTATGTGATGCACAGTCATATTTTGCAGCAAGACACAGGCTTTTCAAGATAATTTTTGATGCATTCATTAATGTGTGTGAATCTACAAATTATGCTTGGGGAATTGTGGTTTAGCATACCTAAACATTTGAATGGTGACTTTTACACGGGAAACATGGAACACACACTTCCCAGTGGTCCTTTCGGCGTGGATACTGAAGTTTGGAATGGAGAATTGTTTTGAAGACCTTGTGGCTTAGAGAGGCTGAGTGATTAGCCTAAAGTCACACAGCAGTCGAAGAGGAGAGGAAAACACCGACCTGAGGTGACCCAGTTCCTTGTTCCCAACTCTGTACCCTGGTATTCAAGCCACCATTTGGGTGTAGCTTTGTAATATTTATATAATCCCACTGGGGGTACCTTCATAATGATCAAAAGTAATATTTTCATTTAGTCACCTCGAAAGTCATGCAATGATTGTTAAATGTAACTTCTCAGAAGCTTGTTTTCCAACCCGTATTGACCTTTCCCTCCCTCCCTCCTTCTGCTGGCCCTTCCTCCCCCCTTCTTCCTTCCTTTCTCTCTTCCTTCCTTCTTCCTTCCTTTCTCTCTCCCTTCCTTCTTAAAAGGACAGTTATTTTAACCAAAGAAAAATAGGGATATGTGATAATTATATTATATAATGCTGCATACCATTTCTAATCATTTGGAATCTAAGACCCCTTTCTTGACATCTGACAAAACTCAGATTTGGCTATGTACTGAAAAGTTTTGCTCATATGCCGAAAACATTTCCATATATTCAGTATTTGGTTATATGCGGTAACAGTCTACACTGATTCTTTCCTGCGGAGATGTAACATGAGGGATGCTTAATTTAGGTCAGGAAAAGTTAGTACCGGAATCAAGAAACATGTTAATTCTAACAACGACAAAAGCAATAATAATAACTGGAATTTGGTGGGCTCTTCAGTGCCAGGCAGTGTGCTGTGCCCACCTTATAGGTATTGCTTTATTTAATCTGCAGATACTTTTTTCAGAGGCGTGAGCCGTCAGTGTTGGAGAGCAGTGAGCTCTAGTTGCCCTATTTAGTTGTTATAGATGAAGATCTCATTTTTGATCTCTGTTTTCAAAGCCAATTAAAATAAGGTGCTAAATTTGCTGAGGAGAATTTTCTTTCCTTTTTGCAATGAGAATGGATTACTTTTGTATATTTTGAGTGGTTTAAAAGTGTTAAATTTTTCTTTGATGTAAACTACCTGGCCATTTTTTTTTCTTTCCAGAAGTAGTGTGGACGAAGCCCAGGGATTCTAAATCAGGAATAATTCTAGACTTTCTCTCTAGAAGGTTATCAGAATAGTAAATAGTAATTAAGAAAAAATATACACCAGCCTGGGCAACATAGTGAGACTCCATCTCTAAAAAAATTTTTTTTAAATTAGTTGGGTGTGGTGATGCATTCCTGTAATCCCAGCTACTCAGGGCCTGAGGTGGCAGGATTGCTTGAGCCCCGAAGATTGAGGCTGCAGTGAGCTATCATTCTGGCACCGTATTCTAGCCTGGCCAACAGAGTGAGACCCTGTCTCAGAAATAAAAGAAAAAAAAATCCATCCATCCATACACATACATACACATATGTGCATATACATACGTGCATGTATACATGTATATATATACTTTGAGATACTTTCTATACCAGTTGCTATTGCTGTATTACAAGTCAGCCCAAAACTTAGTGATGCAAAGCAGCCATTTAATTTTTTTGCTCATGGATACTTTGGGTCAGGAATTTGGATGGGGGTCGTGGGGCTGGCTTGTCTCTGCTTCATTATATCTGGGACCTCAGCTGGAAAGATTGCAAGGCTAGGTGGCTTGACAGCTGGATCTGGAGTCATCCGAAGCAACACCTCTCCCAAGCCTGGGGTCGAAGTGGCTGTTTGCTGGACCCTCAGAGCTGGGCTGCCAACCAGAACACCCACACGTGGCCTCTCCATGTGGTCTCTTCACGTGGCTCACTTTGAACTCCCTGAGAGTATGACATCTGGGTTGCAAGGGCAGGTATCCCAAAAGGACAGGGTGAAAGTGCAGGGCATGTTTATATCCTAGCCTCAGAAATCAGTCACAGAATGTCATTTTCGTTATTTTCTGTTGGTGAAAGCAGTTAGATGTCAGCCCATGCTGAAGGAGAAGGGCGT